CTGTTAAGTCGCATTTTCGCGTTCGAGGTTTCGTGGGGGCCAGCAAGCAGCATCGCGCGTGCTCGCGGATCGAGATGGCCCCCCGAAGCTGCAGCCAGCTACGGGCGCCAGATCTTTGGCGCCCCAGGCTCATGGCGACGCAAGGCCCGTCAGCGCTTCGGCGCCGTCAGCGCCGCAGCTGGCAGGGGGGAGTGCCTCGTCGCCGCCCTGCAGCTCCTGCGCGGAGGTCAGCTCGAGCTCTAGCTCCAAGCAGCTCGAGCTCTGGTTCCAAGCATGGCGTCGTGATGCTGACTTCAGGCGGCGAGCCCAGCAAGCGTGGATTCCGATCCACAGTCGACTGCGGGGCGCTCATCCTGCCCAGCGCCACCACCACGTTCGGGGTCCGATCTCAGCGCTGCGATCCTTGTTGATGGAGCACGGCTGGGGCCCCTGGGGCCCGCGCGGGCGGGTTCGTCACTTCCCTGGAGGCGGATGGGAGCGTTGGACATTCCCCAACGTTGAGGCACTCGTTGACGGCTCCACTCAGCAGTTGCTCGACGCGTTCGACACCCAGGCGCTGGGGCAGCTGTGGAGCGACGCCGCCCTCCACTGGCGCGGGGAAGGCCTGCGGCGCAGGGCCCACCTGACCTCCCACCGCGCCATGGTGAAGATGCTCGAGGGCCCCCAGCAGCACCAGCACCTCGCGTCGCCCCTGGCTTATATCGCAGCTGGCGGCCCCTGGCCTGGCGAGCGGGTCTCCGACGCCCTCGGCACGCAGGACTCTGTCGACTTCATCTGTCCCATGCGCGGGCACGAAGTGGAGACGCCGCTGCACAGGGCGTGGGCGCGCAATGCCAACCAGGGGTCCAAGGCCCACGGCCTCAGCGCCCACATCGTCGCGAGAACACATGCTGAAGCTGAGGCCAACTCTTGCTTCTGGCTTGGGAGCGCCCCACCCGCGGGGTGGACCCGTGCCCCTGCTCCTCCCGAAGAGCCCTGCTGGACCCACTTCGGCGACGCGCTAGGTCAGCAGGGTCTCGGCGTCGGCACCACGCGCGAGCCCCTCGCGCTGTTCGGCGACGCCAGCGGCGGGCCCGACTCGATGCATCCTCAGCTTCGTCGGGCGGGCGTCGCTGGGATCGTGTTTGTTGCGAGGCCTCTGAGGTCGAGAGCGCCGTCTTCGCCCCCTCGCAGGTGCACGGCAGGCGGTTCATCGTGGCCCCGCGGTTTTCTCTACCGACAACTTGGCGGTCTGCGAGGGGTGGCGGCAGCGGTGCGAGCAGACGCAGGGCAGGAAGCCAACCTGTGGCTCGCCTTACGCTGCGTGTTCCACCGGCGCCTTCGGAGCGACTTCGCCGTCGATCACGCGAACTCGAACCTCACGTCTCAGGAGGCGCAAGCACGAGGATTACCTCATGAAGCGCCGCGGGGCAGCGCCATCGCTGACGCATTGGCTGGCCACGGTGCAGATTGAGGACGACTTGACGGCGGTGTTCGGCAGCAGTTTCTGACCACGGAGGTGCTCGCGACCCAGGTGCGATGGAGGCTACTGGGGGCCACCGTCGACGCCGCGGCAGCCGCGGAGGTCCGCGGTCGGCCCCGTCGTTGCCCTGGCCGACGCGTGGCCCCGCACTCCATATGCATGGCCACCGCCTTCAGCTCCACGCGCGCGCTGCACGGCGTCGGGATTAGCTGTCGGAGCTGCCGCGCGTCTGCAGGACACACCAGTCGAGCAGCGTGGCTAGCCAGCGCGCGCAAGGGGCTCGTGGCTTGTGGTGACGATTGGGCCCGTCTCACCTCAGCCGACGTCTCGTTGCACATCGGCGACCAGCAGGTACACGAGTCACATGCGATGCAGCTGCAGGTATCTTTGGACGTCTGGGCGTGCCTGGCACGCGGCTGCTATGATTGGCCAGGGCTGCGTGCGCTCGGGCGGGGCCTGCTCGCCAACTGCCTGGGGGCCACGCCGGCTGGCCGAGAGCAACTCGAGCGACTGCGTCATGGACGCTGGCCGAAGGCAGGCGTCACACTGTGGCCCGTCGACGTCGACGGCGCATCTCCAAGCGCGACGCGGGCGGCGATGGCACCTTGGGCGTCACCCAGCTGCTGCGCATGCGGGGGCTAGGCGGAGCCCCCTGGATCTCGCGCGGCCGCGGCAGGTCGCTGGCGGGCCAGTGCGCCTGCGTGGCTGTCGGGGCGGTGGCGACGCTCAAGATGCCGAACAGGGCCTTGGCGTCAGTTCACAAAGTCTTGGTTTGCCGATGCGGCTACCAGGCTCAGTTGCCACGGGCGTCAGTTCGCAAAGTCCTGGTGTGCCATTGCGGCTGCCAGGCTCGCCGTCGCCACGTGGGCCCAAGCTCGGCATCGCTCTTGGCGCTGTGGATGGCGTGGAGGTCGCGATGCCCGTGGGCCTGCTGAGAGCCACGCGCCCTCGCCAGGGGGTTGCCGCTGGCGCGAGGCGCGGAGAGCGCGCCGCTACTGGCGGGGTAGCGCAGGCGGGCCCCGATCGCCACGAGGGGCGGCGCGATGGCCACGGGGGGGGCAGGGGGGCAGCTCTGGGAGCACCCCCAGGTTCACCCCCATGGCAGGCACAGCCACGCGACCGCTCCATGGTCGACATCCAGACGGAGGATGACGAGGTGGTGCGCACGGACCACGGCACCGACCACGGCTCGAGTTCATATGCCCGAGATTCCCGTCGAGGGAGGCAGGCGCAGGTGTTTCTGTGGCGCGAGGCCGCCCGCCGCGCGGGCGCTCGGCCGGGCGTCGGCCCTCGCGATGAGGGACCTGCGGCGGAGGTACGTGACCCACTTGCTGCTGGGCGTGACGGTGGTGCCGGCCTCGCCTGGGGAGGTGATGAGCGTAGCGTAGTGGTTAGTCATGTCGGGGACTGCCATCACAGCGCCCACGTCTCGGAACCGACCCTAGAAGGTCCTGCAGTCGGGATTCGTGGCCAGCTCGCGGTGGAGCGTGGCGACGCAGGCAGCGACGTGAAACCCGACGCCGCGTTCGACGCCGAGCGGAAGGGTTCCGAGGCGTTGGCGCCCTCCCTGGAGAGTTCCTCGGACACCATCGCGGACGACGACAACATCGTGCTGGGCGCGGGGGGGCATCATGTACCCTATTGCGGCCTTCGCGCGCTGCCCTGCTGCCAAGGGCCGAGGCGCTGCTGGACGGACCACTGCAGGAGGTGTTGACGCGACTGGCGTGAGACGCTGCAGCGAGGCCAGGGGGGCCCAGCAAGACGGGTCGACTGCTACGGAAGGTGGGCTGGCGATGGCTGCCGTCAGTGACAGTGCTCGCCCGAGGAGCGGCGCGCCTTCCCTAGCCACTGGAACGCCGTCCGCTGCTGGGCCCACTGAACTGAGCAGCGCCCCGTCTCACAGGTGGCCGAGTAGCGACCAGGCCAGCTCGGCCGCAAGGCGGGCCCTCATCATGAGCTCGCTAATCTCTGCAGCCACCGCCAAGCTCAGGGCGGACCTCGACGTCGAGCCCGACGCCGCGCCCGACGCCGCTGCCGACGTCAATCCCGACGACGTGCTGGATCTGTGCGGGCCCTTCGAGGAGCTGGACCAGCCCGAGTCGCCCGAGGGCCCAGGTTCCGCGGGCTGGGCTGCCGCAGGAGCTGCTGACCTGCGACGCAACGACGGCTGTGGCCCACGTTCGCGCGGGACGCCGCGGCCACCTGCGCAGCCGCCGCGACCGCCCCGCCCGCCCCTGCCGCAGCCCGCCATATCCTTCGGCGAGCTGGTGCGGCGGGTCGCGGGGCCGCCGCCGGCCTCCCGCGACCAGCGCACCTGAGGCAGCCAGGTCACATTGCCCGCGGGGCGGGCCGCTGGCCAGGCCGCTGGCCGTGGTGCCACACCGCGGGTCGAGGGCCTGCCCCACCACATCCCTCTGTGGGTGGGGGACCTCGGTCTTGCGTCGCGCAGAGGCGCGCCGCTTCGCCTGCGGGCAGCCGCGGGCAGCTGAGTGCGGCGGGCGCGGGGGACCACACTCGACCGCGTCTCGGTCCTTTCCACTCCTCCTCCTCCTCCTCCTCCTCCTCCTCCTCCTCGTCCTCCTCCTCCTCCTCCTCTTCCTCCTCTTTCTCCTCCTCCTCCTCCTCCTCCTCCTCCTCCTCCTCCTTCTCCTCCTCCTCCTCCTCGTCATCCTCCTCATCCTCCTCGTCCTTCTCCTCTCTCGCTCTCTCTCTTTCGCTCGCTCGCTCTCTCTCTCTCTCTCTCTCTCTCTCTTTCTCTCTTTTGGTTATTCTCTCTCTCTCTCTCTCGCTCTCTCTCTCTCTCTCTCTCTCTCTCTCTCCGTGCGCCGCCCAGCGCGTGGGCGGGGGCACGCGCTCAGCTCAGCGTGCACTGCAAGGAGGAGGAGGAGGACCCGGTTTCAGCATGGGCAGAGGGGCGAAGCTGTCCGTTCCTTGCAGTGCCCTCCGCCTCCCCACTTCCGAGTTACGAGAGCCACGGAACGGAGAGGCGCCTGGCACCCAACTCAAGCTCGCGAAAGTGTTTTTTGCCATTTCAAGGGTGCCTTCTGACTTAATCAATTCCCATACGTTGGCTTCGTGATTGCACGACCAGTTTCGCAGAGTCCTGCGTCCCGAGAGCAGCAGCAACACCATGGGGGGTGACGGAGACAAGAGGAACGGGAAAGAGTTGATTATTGCGTGGGCGTGTTTGGCAGGGCTCGCAAGCATGGTTGTCGGCGAACTCCCGCCATCGACGTTCATCCCGTACGCAATCGAGCATTTCGCTAGACCCCAAACAGGTACGAACTGTCTCTGTAGCCATTTTTGCTCAAGCCGCGGGCACAGTAGTCGCGAGAGTCCTCGCGATCTCGCCGCCCAGGGCGGGTTCGGCGTGCAGCGCAGGGTCATGGGCGGCACAGGCTAAGGCGGCAGCAAGGGGAAGCCTGCCGCAAAGGGCAGATCTCCGAGCAGATCTCCGAGTCCGCCACCAGCGGAGCAGCGCAACGGAAGTCCGCCGCCGCGCCGCTCCACCAACGACAGCTCGGACCCTCCGCCGCCTATGGGCGTGGCGCCCGACGATGTCTCCATACGGGCGAATATCTGCTACAACTTCCTTGCCTTCTCCGCCTACTGGTTTGGCGCCGCGCGTTTCGACATGGACGGTGATGGTGGTTTCGACGCAGCGGACGCGCAGGCCATGATGAACAGAAGAAGCAAGGCGATCTTGCTCAATTTCTCGCGGCCAGCCACATGCAAGAAGGCGAAGGGAGCGCGCCGATTCAAGGTTGAGGCGAAGAGGCAGAGAGCAGGTCAGAGCATCAGCGACACGGTCGACGGCATCTTCGACGCTGACGTCGAGGAGGAGGAAGACGAGATCATGGACAACCTAATGCAGTATTGGCCCTGGTTTTCCGTCACTGAGGTGCTCTTGTGCCTCGGCTTTTGGGGCGTGAGCGCGTTCAACACGAGGGCCTACTCATAAATGCAGTACGACAAGGTTATCACAGACGACGTTCAACTGTTACGTATTTGTAAAGATGACCCGACTGAGCAGCTGTTGTTTGACGATTGCAAGAAAGAGTGCAGCGCTGCCGACGAGGCGTGCGTGGGCATCGGCTGGAAGAATGGGTCGTGGCCCGAGTGCTTCCTGTTGAGCTCGCTGCCGGAATCAGATCCCGAATATTTTCCCTGCCAGAAAGACGCGTGGGGCTGGCGCGCCTACATGAAGAAGACGTGGACCCTCTTCGACATGTTCTTCACGAAGGGAGGTATCGAGTCCATCTGGCTCCGGTTCACCACCCTGGCCGCCTACAGCTACTGCCATGAGGGCTACGACATAAGCTTCCTGTGGAGGTGGTGGAGCTACCAGTTCACGCACGGCAGCATCACTCACGTCGGCGCCAACTGCTTCTGCTTCATGTTGATCAAGCTCGGCTTTCCCTTGGAGGGCTGGCAGGGAACAGGCATGTTCGCTGTCATGTGGACCATCGGGTTCTAGGCGGAGCCTTCTGCTGCGCGCTCCTCGACCCCTACGCCACCTCGTACGGCGCCTCCGGAGGATGCTACTCCCTGCTCGGCATGCACGCCGCAGACCTGATTCAGAATTGGGGCGACAAGAACTGTCGCTTTGGTACAATATTTATGCCTCTGGTCGCCGGTGTGGAGTCGGCCGCCTTCTGGGCTTCGCGTGACGACGAGAGTTCTACGGCTCACACTGTGCACATTGGTGGCACCGTCGCTGAGCTCCTCATCTGCTTCACGACCGGCCGCAACGACCGCTGGAAGGTTTGGGAATACATGTTCTCCGCGATGGCCTGGGCCGTGGCAGCCTTCCTCGTCTTCGGGAGCATTTACTTCTGGTTCTTCTTCAACGAGCACCCCGGCATCGCCAGCTTGTGGAAGCCGCTCATTGGCAAGACTATGGAGCGCCCCTCTTGTTGGATCGGGTAAATTTGCATCGGCGATAGTGGCAATGTCTGTCCGCTGATAGACGACGCTACCGATTACATGACGAACGCCGGCTCCTACGCGAACACGTTGAGGCAGTGCGTCACCTGCGACACAAGGGAATGCGTGGAGGGTGGGTACAGCGACACCTACGAGGTCACCACCGCAGGGGTGACCACTGAGCACTAGAAGTATTGCCCGACTGAGGCGTCGCGCAACTACTGCACCTTCACCGCCGGCGACAGCTTCGACCTGTGGTACCCTCCGACCAAGAGCGCGTACCAGCTGACTGACACGCCGGCGCCGTCACCTGCGCCAACGCCTTCACTGACGCCGACGTGAATGGTTGACCGGCAGGACCCTCTGCCCTGCGTGTCGCCACAATTTCTCGGCGCCAACTGTCCATCGGGAGGGGCTGTTGTGAATGAGCCAGGGGGTGGGAGCGATTGGGAAAAAAGGTCGTCTCGGCGGCGCGCAGAAAAGCGACAGGGCCAAGGCGGCCTCCTAAAATGCCCCCCTCCTTCAAGATCCGTTTGAGGCATCTTGGGGCAAAACGTTACCGGCGCCTGCGTCCGTTTGCCTCGCCCTTCCAACCCTTGCCACGCGCCTGCCGCGCCACAAGCGCCCGCGTCTGTTTGCCATCATGTTGCCTCCTTCTGCTCCTCGAGCCGACGGTCGGAGAGCGCGTTGACGGCGCGCGCCCCGCGGGCTCGGAGGAGCAATGCTTCGTGGTGTAGAGCACTGAGGAGTGCGTGATGCAGTAGCAGCGAGAGATAAATAGATGAGGAGGAGGGGGAGGAGGAGGAGGACGACGACAATGGCTGTGGCGATGACGGCGACCAGGGGAGAAGCGGGGAGCTGGGGGGTAGGGCAGCGAGGGGGCAAAAGGGGACGGACGATGGCGGAGGAGGACGGACAGGGCGATCGGCGCGGAGAGCGCGGAAGCAGAAAGAGACAGCGGAGGAGGAGGAGGAGGAGGAGGAGGAGGAGGAGGAGGAGGAGGAGCAACGGGCGGGCGGCCGCAAGGGTGGAAAATAACTCTGGAGGCGGAGGAGCTCTATGCTCCGTTGGACCCCTTTTTGGGAGTTCGCGCAGCGACGCGACAGGGCGGCCCCGGGACCCGCGAGGAGGACGGCCGGTGATGCGGGGGCCTGCGCTGCTCATGCTTTCCCCCCCGCCGACCCTGTCCTGAATGTCACCTGCGGGCCTTTCGGACCCTTCTCCTCCGCGATGCAACCGCAGGAGGAGGAGGGGCCCTCGGCGAGTGCAGGTGCGCACGCCCTGCGGGCGGCGGGGACGGGCCCAGACGCCCGGCCGCTCCAGTGTTTGTTCGGAGGCGTGGGCCCCGGAGGTCTGGACCACGCCCTGCAGACTCGATGCTGATGCTCCTTTTTGCTTCTTGTTGGTTTGGCGTGTGAGGATACATCGACCTTTTGAGGCCTTCCCCTCCTTCCCCCTCCGCCCCTCGCCGTGCTCGCGCTTGCAGGGTCAGCTCCCTGAGTATGTCCTGGTCGCAGGCCCTCCCCGCTCTTCCGCGCCACATGAGTTGGTGCTTCAACAACTGCGCGCTGCATGGTCCATAGCAATTTTGGCTCAAGTCGGGTGCCCCGACAGCGCCTCGGCTCCAGGAACATGGTGCGCATGGTGCGCCCCTGGCTCCTCCTCCTCTCCAGGTGGGCCGTGCCGCTCGCGGAGGCCACTGCCTCCGCGGGCTGCGGCCCCTTCGGCGGGGCCGCTCGCTCGGAGGCGGACGTGGGCCGCGAGCAGGAATGCGAGCACGCGTCCATCGGCTTCGAGGCTCTGCAGACGGCCTCTGCGCTGTCAAAATCCCGCCACATGCTCAAGCGGGACGCGGGAGGGACAGAGCGCAGCCAGCTGAGCGGCGTTGAGGGCAACCCGTACGTCCGGGGGCCCAACATCTATCTCGCAGACCTTGTGGACCTCGACAACTACTGGGGCTACTGCCTGGACATCGCTGGGTCCCCGCCCCACCCGCAGTGCGACAGCATCCAGGGGCACACCTGCAAGTCGGACGGTGCGGACACCCAGTTCCGGTTCGACCCCGACACGGGGTCGATCGTGTCGCAGAATTTCAACGGTATATGCAACCCGATGTATGACGGGGAGCAGGACGGAAGGATATGGCAGGCAGACCTGAACAACACCCGCGGCGGTTGCCTCCGGGTCGCTGGGTCCCTCGAGGCTGGGACTCAGCTTGTCATGGTGGAGTGCCGGGCGCCCGACTCTCTGCAGAAGTTCAGGTACACCCCGAGCAGGCAGTTCGCCGTGGTGGACACCAGCCTCTGCCTCGTCCTCGGGCAGGAGAGGGCCGAGCAGGACGGCTTCTCGTCTCGCACCGCCGAGCTGCAGGACTGCGCGTCGTGGCCAGCTGAGCTGTCAACCTGGGAGGTCATCACGAGCACCCACGAGAAGTACTACCCAGAGTCGAGCCCCAGCATGGCATGGATTGGCGTCAATTCGGAGCAGGCGAGAGGGGATCCCCTGCCCCTCTAAGCATTCTGCAGGTGATTGTTCCACTTCTGAACAACTTGTCCGGATTTTGTTTAACTTCGACACTTACCATGTTTCAACTTCATGTTCAACAGGCTTTGCCCGAATGCAGCGATCGCTCATGACGGGGTTGGCGGTTGGTCCCCGTGCGCGCTTTTCCGACCCGCCCGCTTGCGTTAGAGCAAGCGGGCCCGTCGCAAAAGCGCCACCGCTCGTCTTGCCAGTTCATTTGTAAATATCTTTATCGTACTAGTGTCACTGGCGCGAGCTGGCCCGTGTCACCGCGCGTTTTCAGTTTTGTTGCGCCATGGAGTTCGCATGTAAAAAAACAACTGCGCGCTGCATGTAGCCTGGCCGGCGGCCTCGAGGACGCCCCTGTTCGAGAGGCGCGGCAAATATGCCGGGGCAATGTTCAAGATCCGTTTGAGGCATCTTGGGGCAAAACGTTACCAGCGCCTGCGTCCGTTTGCCTCGCCCTTCCAACCCTTGCCCCGCGCCTGCCGCGCCACCAGCGCCCGCGTCCGTTTGCCATCATTTTGCCTCTTCCTGCTCCTCGAGCCGACGGTCGGAGAGCGCGTTGACGCCGCGCGCCCCGCGGGCTCGGAGTGCGTGATGCAGTAGCAGCGAGAGATAAATAGATGAGGAGGGGGAGGAGGAGGACGACGACGACAATGGCGGCGGCGATGACGGCGACCAGGGGAGAAGCGTGGAGATGGGGGGTAGGGCAGCGAGGGGGCAAAAGGAGACGGACGATGGCGGACGAGGACGGACAGGGCGATCGGCGCGGAGAGCGCGGAAACAGAAAGAGACAGCGGAGGAGGAGGAGGAGGAGGAGGAGGAGAAGGCGGAGGAGAAGGAGGAGGAGGAGCAACGGGCGGGCGGCCGCAAGGGTGGAGAATGCCCCCAGAGGCGGAGGAGCTCTACGTTCCGTTAGACCCCTTTTGGGAGAGGTCTGGACCACGCTCTACAGACTCGATATTGATGCTCCTTTTTGATTGTTGTTGGTTTGGCGTGTGAGGATAAATCGACCTTCTGAGGCCTTCCCCTCCTCCCCCCTCCGCCCCTCGCCGTGCTCGCTCGCCCCCCCCGCGCGTGCGCCTCCCTCCGCCATGCGCCCGGCGCTCCCTGACCTCGTGGAGGCACAACGTCCTCCTCGCTCCTCCTCGCTCCTCTTTGCTCCTCGCTCCTTCTCCTCCTCGCTCCTCCTCGTCCTCCTCCTCCTCGTCCTCCTCCTCATCGCGGTCGGATCGAGGCACGCACGAGATCGCGGTCGGTTCGTGGAGGGTGCCCCAGCGTTCTTCGCGCTTGAAGGGTGTTCTCGTGCGTCCTGGGGGAGGGCGCCCTCGACGGTTCGTCGGAGGGCCTCATGTTCTTGAGGGGTGTTCTTCTGTCCTAGGTCTGGCCGTAAACATAATTGTTAAAGTTTCGCGCGGATCTCCTGCATCGGCGTTGAATCCCCCCCTATCCTCGCCTCCGGCGCCGCCCCCGAGCGCGCTCCGCGCGCCAGGGAGGGGGGCCCAGCGCGGATTTCAGAAATCATCGTGGACCTCCAACAGTTTATGTTTATGCTGTTGTGCGTTCCCCTGTAGTGACCGAACCTTAGTTCTGTAGCACTCGACTGCTATCAGGCGGTGGGCCGAAGAGATCGTGCCGATGCCATCCAGGCCCAGCGGTACGCTCTGAGCGCCGACTGCGTGGATCCTCGCCCGGGGCTTGATGTTTGCCATGGCATTGTCGGGGCGCAGATGCCTGCGCCCCCCTGTCGCCCCATCTTTTCCCCTTCCTCGGAGAAGAAAGAGGCAGCATGGGCATAAACTTTTTCGCGGCCCGTGCGAGTTCCTTGAATCGGCGCCTGGGCCCCCCAGGCGGCGCCTCCAGCCCCGCGCAGGGCGCGCGGAGCCCCGACAGTTCATGGCCGCACCTCTTCTTCTTGTTCGACCCTCCCACCGCACCTCCCTCCTCCTCACTCTTCCTTTTTCCTGCTCTTCGTATGTTGGCTGCAGGGCGCACCCATCCGCAGCGCAGGGTCACTCCCTTCCTCCCTCGCCCCCTCCCTCCTCAGGTGCTCACGTGCCGAGGTGGTCGGCGCATGCGATACGACGAGACGGCTCCTTTGCGACTGAGCTTAAGCCGGGCACGTCCCTCGACAGGCGGAGTATCCAAACATAGAAATTAGTCCCAAGACGATTGTCCCATTATGTTTGATGATTACTACTTTAATAAACATATATATATGTGTACACCACCTACATGTATGTATTATAGAAAAATATGTTTGCTTTTCCCTCCAAGATCCGCCCTGCAGGGGGACATGCCCGACCTAAGACTGGGTGTGCGACGTCGCCTCCCTTCTCCTCCCAGGGCGATGGTCAGGGCGGCGGCCGCGCTGGCCGCGCTTCGCCTTCGAGAGGGGGTCTTCCGACGCTAATGTCAAGCAACCATCCTCCTCCTCCTCCTCCTGCATCCGTTTCCTTGCAAACAACTCCTCCCTGTTGGGCCCCTTTCCGGAGTGCGGGCCGGGCGTTCTTTGGCTTGGGATATCCGAGAGAGCGTGATCCACCGCCGCTTTACTGTGGAAAATTGCCGCCCTCTTCCTCCAGAACCCGGGGGTCTCCCCCCCCCCTCCGAAAATCCGCCCCCCCCCTGCGGGGGTCTCCCCCCCCCCCCTCCGAAAATCCCGCCCCCCTGCTGGAACCCCTCCCCCCCCCCCCTTCCTCCTCCCCTGGCAAAACCCCCCCTCGAAAACCGGGGGGGTCACTACCGGTTCGAACCCCCCCCCCCACTCGAAAACCGGAGGGGGGGTCACTACCGGTTCGAACCCCTCCCCACCCTCCCCCACTCACCGCCAGCAAACGACTCCCGGTCCCTACCACCGTCCGCACCACATCCCCCACTGTTGTTCCCAGCACCACTGTCCTCACCACCACTGTCCCCACTGGCTCCACCACCGTCCCTACTGTCCCCACCAGTGCCCTCCACCACTGTCGCACTGTCCCCACTGTCCCCACCACTGTTCCCACCACAGTTCCACTCTCCCCACTTTCTCCACGGCCCCAACCATGGCCCGACTATCCCCACTGTCCCCACTGTCCCACTGACTCCTCCGCTGTCCCACTGAGCTGTCCCACTGTTCCCACCACTGTCCCCACTGTCCGCACCACTGTCCCCACTGTACCTCTGTCCCATTGTCCCACCGCCGTCCTCGCCACCGCCTTCACCACTGTCCCCACCACTGTACCCTCCACTGTCCCACTGTTTCCACCTCATTCTCACTGCCCCCACACCACTGTCCCCACCACCACCGTCCCCACCACTGTCCACTGTCCCCACTGTTCCCACCATTGTCCTCACCACTGTCCCCACCACTACCGTCCCCACCACTGTCCCACTGTCCCCACCACTGTTCCGCTGTCCCCTCACCACTGTCCCCATCACCACCGTCCCCACCACTGTCCGCACCCCCCCCTCGGTTTTCGAAGGGGGGGGGGGGGGTCGAACCGGCAGTGACCCCCCCTGGTCTTCGAGGGGGAAGGGGGGGGGGGGTTCGAACCGGTAGTGACCCCCCCGCCCTTTTCATGATGATGAACGGGGGGGGGGGAGGGGATCGAACCGGTAGTGACCCCCCCCCGGTTTTCCGGAGGGGATAGGGGGGGGAGGGGTTCGAACCGGTAGTGACCCCCCACCGGTTTTCCGCCAGCAGCGGTAGAACACGCTCTTTCGGATATCCACACCTTTCGCGGACGAAGCCAAGTCAAGAAATCATACGCCCGTTGGCGCGTGGGCAGGGCAGACGCGTTGCACTGTATGGCGACGCAGGAAAACGGAGCGCTTGGCGCGATTCGATCCAGTTCAGGCTTGCCTTCAATCACGTGGGGAACAGGCAATGACATAAACATACAAGCTCGGAGGTCCGCGGGGCTTTCTCGGATCGGCGCGGGAGCCCCATGGCTGCGTCACCGGCGCCGCCCCTGGCGCGCTCCCCGCGCCAAGGAGTGGGGTTCAGCGCCTATCCAAGACATCCGCGCGGAACACGCTTGCACGCTGGTCTTCGAAAGCATGCATTGCTATATGTCCCGATCCCAATCTACTCCAAACGACTTCCTACTTCCAGAGCCGATGTGCGCTTGCGGTTTCTTGCTATTCTTTGGGCGGGCCCGAGCCCAGTCTGGTTTATCCGCCCTCATGCTTCATGTCTCCACGTGCTTCTGCCGACTGGCGGGCATGCCATCGTTTAGTCTTCTCACCCAGATCACTGTCTTGCCCAGCGTCGATCCACGACATCCGCTCTGAATATATTTACACTATACTCCACCGGGCAATGAGGCTTTATCCACGTCCACTATGCCTGCCTGGTCAAGCCCAAGCGGAGAGGGTGTATATGCCGCTCTTTGACCCAAGATGGGCGAAGCCAAGCGGCAATGGATGTATGTAGATCTCGCCGACCTGCGTTCAGTTCTCTGACCCTGTTCATCGTTTAGTTGAACAGCCCTTGTCATCGTGTATGCCATCATCTAGCCTGAGATCCGACGTTGCGAAACAATTGTAACATCGCAAAAGAACGCACGACTGCAGCCCTGGAGCCCATCCTTCTGCGACATTTTCCGAGCAGGATCGATCTGTGAGGGCCCGCGGCCCGAAGCGGGTCGACAGCGCCCGTTGTGAACAAACATGAAATTCTTCACGCTTCGCGTATCCCCACCAGCCCATCTCAAAACAGCAACTCTTGCGAAGCATGCCGACAGTCGTGTTTTTCAGGCGTGTTTCCGCCTGCCCCCGCATATCTCCCCTGTTCCTCCTTCCTCCCGCCTCCGTGTACATCCTCCTTGTGGTGGGAGCGGGAGAAGGACGAGGCGGAGGAGGAGGGAGAGAAAGCGCTCCTCGTGGTTTGAGTCGTTTGGGGTTTCTCGTCCTGGTGTGAGTCGTTCGGGCCCTTCTTCCTGGTGTGAGTCGTTCGGGCTCTTCGTGGTGTGAGTCGTTCGGGCTCTTCGTCCTGGTGTGAGTCGTTCGGGCTTCTCGTGGTGTGAGTTGTTCGGGCCCCTCGTCCTGGTGTGAGTCGTTCGGGCCCCGTTCCTCCGTGGTGTGAGTCGTTCGGGCTCCTCGTGGTGTGAGTCGTTCGGGCGCCTCGTCCTGGTGTGAGTCGTTCGGGCCCCTCCTTCTGGTGTGAGTCGTTCGGGCTCTTCGTGGTGTGAGTCGTTCGGGCCCCTCGTCCTGGTATGAGTCGTTCGGGCTCCTCGTGGCGTGAGGCGTTCGGGCACCTCGTCCTGGTGCAAGTCGTCTTGGGTGCATTGGGGGAGCCTCTTCGGGCCTCTTGGGAGCCTCTTGGAGGCCGTTTGGGGCGTCTTGGGGGCCTCTTGGCGGCCCCAGGGGCTTCCAGGAGCGTCTTGGGTGCCTCGGGGGAGCCTCTTGGGGCCTCTTGGGGGCCTCTTGGGGGCATCTTGGGGGCCTCTTGGAGGCCTCTTGGGGCCTCTTGGGGCTCTTTGGGAGGGGTCTGGGAGGTATCTTGGGGCCATCTTTCGGGCGATCGATCACAGATGGGGCGAGCATTTTTGTCAGTACCCCCGTCGGGGCCACGATCCTCGTGAGGGGTGTCGAATTTTAGCCCTCCCAGGGATAGAAAAAGGACCCTCTGACCACCCGCGAAACCCCCGCT